CTAAAAGTCATATTAAAGTATGCAATTAAAGAAAGTAATACAAAAATCATAAAAGAAGACAGAGTATAGAGTTCCTCTCTTGCTATAGCCCTTTCAGTGTTATTCTTTGCCTATGCTAAGTAGGATGTGTTGATCCCAGCTTGGCACTCCCTATCCAACTTCCTGCGTAGATTGGAGCAACACCAACCCCAGCCCTACAATCTGAGAAAAGAAAGCACAAACATGTTATAAAGCGTTGGCCTGATTGTCGTGGCAGCTGTGATCTTACTCAAACAGCTCTCCACTGTGTCATCTATTGTGTCAAGCTGTGTCAATTGAGGCACTTGTTAATTATCTGAGGACTGGACAGTTAGTAGATCATTTTTTGATCCAAAAAACGTCATAGAATAGTGGGTCAACATTTCTTTAAAAGTCATAGTATAATATTTAGAAAAAAAAGCTATAGTATGTAAAGTGAAAAAAAAGGATCATATAATAGCATGTCAAAAAAGTAAAGAAAGAGTCATAGTATAGAATGCCAGAATAGTCTTATCATAGTATATCGAAAAAGTCATTAAAACCATTTAAAAGTCACAATATAGCATGTCACAAAAAGTAATAAAATGATATGCCATAAAAAGATGATGGTAAGAATAAAGTCAAAGTATAGTATGTAAAATAATTCATTAAAAAGCCATAGTATAGAATATCAGAAAAAGTCATGGTATCTTATGTCCGAAAAAGTCATTAAAAAGTCATTAAAAAGTCATTAAAAAGATGAAGTAGAGTATTTCGACATGTCATAAAAAGTTTTGTATAGCATGTTCAAACAAGTCATTAACAGGTCATAGTATAGTATGTCTAAATTAGTCATATTAAAGTAAGTAAAATAAGGTTGTAAAATAGCGTGTCTAAAATAGTAATACAAAAGTACATTGAAAAAGTCATAGAAAAGTCAAACTAAAGCATGTCGAAAGAAGTTGTTGGATAGTATGTCGAAAAAAACCTAAATAAACAAGTCATGATCTGGAAAAGGTGGTGGAGAGGAGGACACTGACGAAACTATTATCCATATTGGATAACCCGGACCACCCTCTCCACCACCTACTGCAGAGCACTTTCTCCAACAGACTGATCCAGGTAGAGTTTGTGCCATTTAGATCAAGGTTGTTTTGCAATTTTAGGGTTCAAAAACAGCTTGAGCTTTCTCTACTTCATTCATGAGCTTTTTTGTAATACTATATTATTACTTTTTTTCGACATATTATTCTTGGTCTTTCAATGACTTTTTTGACATAGAATGCAATAAATTGTTCTGACCTTTTATGATGTTTTTTCGTCATTCTATTTTTTGACTTTTCATGACTTCATGACTATACTATCAGTTTAATTTCACAAACTGTGGTATATGAACTGGTTTAGTTTGCTATGTCTCAAATAATCAGAAAAACAATAACTGCATTGGAATGATCGTTGTGTGTGCGTGTAACAACGGGTTCACACGGGACGTGAAAGCGTTACGCTATTTCAATTGTTGCGGAAATGTGGATGGACTGATTGATGGTTGGCATGGTGACATTACACCTGCTTGCAGAGATGAGGCAATTCACCAATAAATGACTGTCTCTCTGGAATTCATTTTATTTTGCTTTCACAGCACATGAAAGAGGTCTGTATTCCCTGCATGTCTCCCTGACATGGGGCGACCGTGTCTGTAAAAAGTCTCAACTCAAGGTCACTTGCCTGATCACCTCTGGTCTTTGGCTTGAACTTCAGAAAAGTCAAAGAGCTGTTGTTTGAGGAACTCAGTGTGTTCATGGGCTCATGTGGGGAAAATTCCTTCAAAGTAAAGCTTGTAGACATCAAAGCTTTTTGTGCAAAAATTCTCTCTGATGGCATCTTGCAGCACAGCAAACCGGCCATTGAATGTGTGTGTGTGTGTGTGTGTGTGTGTGTGTGAGAGAGAGAGAGTGTGGTTGTGGCTACACATGGTCAGCACAATTACAGAACATCAAAGGCCACTAACATCTCTGCTGAAATCCCTGTTCGATCCCTCTAAAGTGAATCGCCCTGCAGAGTAAACGGAGATCTGGCAACACAGGATATTGCAGAGGAGGGATGAAGAGGGAAATGAAGATGAGTTATGGGGCCTGTGTGGAGGGCAGGTGATATAATGGAGAGAAAGCGATTAAGGGAACGATTGGGATTGATGGAGGGATGGAACGAAATGGCTCTGACTGAAGGCCTGAAAGGAGGCAACCAGAGATGTGGGCAAGTGAATCCACATCATAAAGAACAGGAAGGTATTTGCATATGGAGTGGCTGATATCTTCAAGACAGCTGCAGCTCTCACAGCTGGCAGACTGACAGCACTGGGCAGGTGTGAAGCTCGGCACATTCAGAAAGGGACACTTAACGAGAGATGTGTGTGCGTGTGTGTGGTTGTCCGTGTGTGTGGAGGGGGCACCATTCATCTTAAACAGCCCTTTGTGAAGCAGCCTTCAAAGATGGAGACTTATTGTATCAGTTATCTCTCTTTTCCTCAGCACATCCATCTGCTTCCTTCTTTCTAATTGCTGTTCCCTTTATAAAGCTTTCTCTTCTTTCTCTCCTAAAGATAAACCACAGGGCACCAAAGTGCTTTATCACCCGAACAGTGAACATTCACGTTATTAAGTTATATGAAAACCTGAGCTACGTGTCTTCACTGATGACCGATCTCAGTCATATTTCGGTGTCTTTGGATTTCAGCTTTGTATCAAAAAGGTCTACATGAACATGTTGTCATTTTGTTGCTTGGCTATTATTCATTCAAAAATAGTCTTGCACTGACAAACCTAAATGAATGCATCAATCAATATTTTTGCACAAAACAGTACGATTAAGGGGAATATATTTTGTTCAATTTAATATCAATAAATAACATTATTCTACCCTGATTGTTTTGCTCTGGGACATTTCGAATGATTGTCAAATCACTTATCAGCAAATCACTTAGTGACCACATCAATTTGAATGCATTATTTATTTGAACGTTGACAAATCCAATATTTATCGCAGAAAGCAAAATAACCTAGAGCAAGAAAAGAAAAATAAGTTCTGAAAGATCGTGTTTGGAGAAAGTCTAAACTCTCTGGCTGTAGGGCTTTTGGTTTTCTCAGCAATGAGTTTGAATATGGTAATATGGTTATGTGATATCACTTTAGTATTACACTCTGATGCAAATTTACAGTGAAATGTTAACAGTAACCTATACTCTCTTATGCTTATGCTGTATTTTGCTGTGAAAGCAATGCATTCTGGGAGTCATAACGCTTGCTCCTATGATCCCGGTCAAGTGTTTCTTTTTTTACTGCTGACAAATTCTTTACTGCTGACAAATTCCTTTACATTTTGTTACTGTATTTCTCCGGTAAAGTCAAGATACTGTAACTTGTAAAGTAGCTTAATAGCAAACTCTTGACCAGTAATTTTACAGCAGAAAGTTTTCAAACATTTAGGGTGTGATTGGCCATGAGGCATCATGTTGACAGTGTTGAACACAGGCTTACACAAATGCAGTGGTGGGTTTGGGTTTTGTGGCAGCTCAGTGGACTATTACATCCTATTCATTCACTGTACTGCCTCACATCTATTCTTGCCTGTCATCCCAGCTGTCCCCTCCATCTGTCCTGTTATTCTTCTGCACCATCAAACAAAACCTGTATACTACAAAACAAAGAACTTTCTGCTCATTTAAGAAAGTTGGGACATCATTCTTCCTCAGGGAACGCAAACACTTGGCTACAAAATCTGCTTGACATTATTGATGTCTGGTATCCTTTAGCTTCTCTGTCCCAGTTCTCAAAGCTGCTCTGATAGATTGAGTGGTAATTGAGTTTTTCACTCACCCCTCACTTTTCATCAGCAGAAGAATCACATCTCATCTGCAGAAATGCAACCCTCTCCTGGCTGCAGTTATTCCTGACAGGTGGGCTGATTGCAGCTGTTTTCTTCAGTCTAACAAGACTTATTATTGCCATTACTTACACCCCCCTCCCCTCCCAACCTTGATCACTGAAACAGAAACCTCTCCCTCCTATCTGGTTCATTTCCAGCTTTCGTAGTCTCTCCCCTTTCATATTTCCATGTACCTCTATTTGTGCTCCATCCTTCCTTACATGTATGCACATTCACTCTCCTGATGCTGTTCCAATAGGCATATCCTGAGCACCCTAAACCCTAAAGTACTGAAGTGAATGCATATACAGTAGATCCTATTATGGCACTATAATACAATGCATGCTCAGGTGTTTTTGCATAAACATATGTTTGTGCATGTGTTTGCTTGTTGCTTGTTTGCATTTGATTGTTTGGGTGTGCACCGCATGGAACAAAGTCAGACACTTCCAAAGCAGCAGTATTAGTGTATCATCGGTGCTTATCTCTCAACTCAGAGATATCAAGGTTAAGAGGCTTCCAGAAGGAAAACAATGATACAAAAACATAGAATCAGGCTCATACAGATGTTTCTGTTTCTATTTATTCAACAATTTTCATTTCATACATCAGAACGAACCTCTAAATTAAATGTAATAAATCCCACAGACAATGGGAGAAAAACACCTTCATTACTGTGCTATATATTGAATCAAGCCCTCTCAGTACGGCTTGATATGAAACCCCTTATTTCACTAAGGTACATCAGAGGCTAATTAAAGTGTCTAGCTCTAATCCTGATCTTCACTGTGGATATTTTGTATTTCGTGAGTGATAATGCGTTACAACTCCTTTCATCTGAGGACTGATATACATAAAGTTGAGTGTTGCTACATGAAAAACATTATGATAGAAGGTAAAAGCATTGAACTGCTTGCATACCATCAGCTAATATAAGATAACATTGTGTACAAACACAACTTCTATGATTTCTGAAATGTGTGATTATTTGCAGCATATTTATAAATGTCAGGATTTCAAGTCAGCCATATCAAAAATCTGTTTCCTAAGTCAAAAATCCCAATGACAGCAAGATGAGAGAATTACTGAAGAATCACTGAATAACTTTATTAACATTGCGATAATCTTAAATTCAACAAACACATGGTGTCAGCATTCAGAGACTACAGTAGCAGAGTGAGAAGTGCTCACAAGTCCCCATTTTTAAGACAGAAAACTAAACAAAACAATATCTAAATGAAATAGATTCCTGAGATGCAAAAGAAAAGAAAGTGATATAATCATAAAAAAGAAAAAAACATCTCTACATGCGATTGTGTCACTTGTTGTCATCGTTGTGACAATATGGAGACTAAGCTGATTGATGCTGGTTTCAATATTGCAGATGAACAATGAAATGCGCTGAAACCAAACTGTACAAAGATATGAAGGGTCAGAGGAGGAGAGATACGACCGGACCGGGCCATGTCTTGCTATTATCACTGCTGTTGAGAACAAAACCTTTAAGTTAAAACCAAATGCAAACCGATCCAGTGAAAAGAATACAGATTATGACTCAACAGAGGCCATTTCTTTCATATTCATCCCTTTTTTAATAAGGGATTTAGAGTTGGTATTTTTAGTTGATATGGGCATCTAATTTCCTGAAACTGGAGACAATTGCTTGCGCAAACTTGGAGCAAAAATGCATGCCTGTGTGCCCGACTGACTGCAATATGCTGTGGCCAGGGGTGCGCTCCTGGGGCAGTGCATTGTGGTGAAAAGGCTGTAGCAGGATGAATACATAATGCAGTCATCTGGTGGAGTTTGGACAAGCTTCAATGATCACTTTAGCTTGGCTCATCCCTTTTTTAAAAGAAACAGGCAGGAGGGTAGAGAAGCAAACTGGAGGCGCAGCTCCCCAAATATGCATCCAAGGATCCTGTGATGTCCCTTTTTAAAGCTGAATTTAAATTTCAGGGTACGCTGAAATCTTGTGATATGATGATCATATAACATAATTATATGAGTGCACTTGGTCAACATCGACAGTAACTTAGTATTATATTAAAATGTTTTTTTTTCATTACTTCCCGTTGCCTAATAGAGTGGAACACACACATACGATTAAAAGTCACGCATACATGATTTTGTAAAAGTCTGTTATGTGCAACCGCCAATATTAAACATTTTCACAAAATTGTGAGCAATTTCAAGCAAAAGTTACTGCTCGATCTGTATAAATAAGTAATCTCAGCTGCACCACTCCCACCGTCAGTCAAAGAAAGTGGGTTTGTTTGGAGCCAGGAAACAAAACAGAGGCAAGTCAATTAAATGGACTAGTGCCCAATGAAAATGGCACTGCGGCTACGTTAGAGCTGTCACGGTCTTGCCGCCAGGATGAAATTAGAGGCCCATGATGTAGGGGATATTTACCAAACTGGCATATGTCGGAAAGCAAGGAGGCAACAAGTTTAAAGCTTAGTTTCAACCGAAAACATAAAAAGAAATACGACTAATAACTGACCCAATGATGTCACTCACTATGACAGTTGATTCTATCATTTTACAATAGTTCATAATGTGCCAAGCTGTTAGATTAACAAATCAAAAACAAATCAAATCAGGTTTGGTCTAACCATCATAAAAAGCCATTTGCAACAAATTAGCTCATTACCGCCATGTCAAAAGAAATATTTACATATGGTTTTCAGAAAGAAAAACAACAACAAAAGTAAAACACATTTCACCATTTACTAAGAAATATCCATCAAATTAGTCAGAGTGCATAATTCAGTAAATGGCACCTGTTTCATTTCTAAACACCAACTCATCACTGCAGACCTGATTATTTATGAGTGTTCATTTAATACAAAACAATCTGCTTCTCCGACTTCAGAATCAACAGATCCATTCGTCCACTCTTCTTATTTCTAAGATTGATACGCAGGCGTAAAGCAACAAAACAATTTGACTGACACCATCATTGATTAAGACACAATGAAAAGAACTAGATAGAAAAGTAAAAAAAAAAAAAAAAAGAAATTACATCACTGTGATAAAAGTACAGTCTGTGATACAGAAGATTTCCAGAGACCAGAGTCTAGAGTGCTTTAGCCCGGAACGCGGTGAGGCTAAAGACAAACTGTAGTGGGATATTGATTGAAGTGCTCTAAAATGATAAAATATGGAAACTGTGGCAAAGCTTTTGCATTTTTAAAACATATTTGAATGTAATATGCAACCTAAATTCTACATCAGTGGTGATAGGTTTAATGATTCCCAACTTGTGATTCACTCCAGCAGTGCTGGAGACACATAGAGACCTTACTTGCTGACCTTATTTGCATAATGTTGTAAATTGGCCACTGAATTGGAGACAGCTGGGCCCACTATTTTATTGCCCTTGGTAATAATTTGCTCCATCTTAGTAGATTAGTGCCTTGCCTTTTAAGTCTTTAGTTTCAGAAGCCACATTGTTTATCGTTCTTTCACAGGAGAGTAAATCAACCAAAGATCCTGCAAACTGATGAAAGACAAATGGCAGGGATATATGAAAAGAAACAGAAGTTGTTCACAAGGTTATGTTTGTCGAAGCGTGTGTGCAACTTTGAATGCCTCCAACAGGAAGGCAATATATGCTTGAATGCTTATCAATTCCAATTTGTATTTTAAGTATTTGGTGGAGACAGATAGACATAATTTTCCATTTCTGTTCCGTTTTGTAATTTCTCTGTTTTTGTTAATCACATCTATTACAACACCGAATTCTTCCGATCTGTAGCACCCAAGAGCACGGCACCAACACAAGGAACCACTGCTCTCCAAAATTAAGTTACAAACATACTTTATAACTTCAGTTCAAATAAATAAAAATATGAACCAAACAAAAACATGCTAATGTGGTTTAGTTTTCACCCATTATATACATGCCTTGTGCCAAAACAAAATACATTTGTTTAAAGGTTTTCCAATAAGGATAATGCAATGAAAAAGTAAAGTAAATAGATAAAGTGGCTAATATACAAATTTGTAGGAATCCAGAATTTAACAGCAATTTTCACAATCAACCACATTTTAGCAGACACAATACACAGCGGGGAGATTGGAACCATTTAAACCAAAACTATTACAATATTTTAATAAAAACATGTTTTAGCTTACATTTTCAAAAAGATGCACTGTATTTTCCCCCTTAGAATTGAATGAGAGACAGCCTTGTCATCTTTCCACTACCCATTTGAATAGAAGAACCATTCCCAAGGCAATCTAATTGTTGGCAAAGGAACACAGTTACTCATTCAGACATTTTTGTGCTTCTCTATTTGTCTTCAGTTTTTAGTTTTGGAAAGGAGGCCCCTGCAGATCCATGACCCAGCACTCACACTATTTTACATTTTTTCTATTTTTTTGCTTGAAGACCCCATGAAATGGAAATCAAAGTTCAGTTCATGGCAAGCGACTGACAAAATGAAAATAAGCGGAGCAGTTATGCAGTTTGAGAGGAGGGAGTTCATGACATGTTGGTGGTACATACAATTTAACTAGTTTGAAGCTTGTTGAACAGACATTTGGAGGTGGAAATATTAACAACAATGTGTTTTAGTCAAATTAATTTGATCACTATTTGTATAAAATATGAATATGATTCGATGAGCCAGTAAATGAACAGAAGTGTGTATACAATCCACTGTGAAACAATGCCAGGACCTCAAGCTTACAAGAGGTAACCAACGTAAGACAACAGTAAATATCTATATTCATACAGTAACTGTGTACTTATTTTACTAACTCTTAATGGTTCATTTTACATTTCACAGGGTCCTTAAGCCATAGAAATATTTCAATATGACATAAACATTAAAAAAAAATGTAATTTGAAGCGAAGAGCTAAAATCCTTTCAGTACAATTTATACAGCGTTTAGAGAGAGAGAGAGAGAGAGAGAGAGAGAGAGAGGGGATTAATTCTTACTGTACACCTGAACCCATTATGTGAATCACAAACTATTGTAAGCTGTCAAGAGGACACTGAAGGTGTTGGTGTTTCACTAAACTGCAGCCTCGACAGTGCAAGAATATACAGACAAAAGTACAGCAGATTTAGCAAATGGTTTTATACACTTGATTGAGTTTATTTGATGGAATGCTTCATCCAGCATCTGTGTGTATTATCTGCTCTAAACAATACCACACTACCCTTTATTACCCCCTACCCTAATAATGAAAATCATATTACACACTTATCTGACCAACCTTGCTACAGTGTTACACAAAACCTTCTTCTTATCTTACAAGGGTCAACTGTTTAATTACAAGTCTATTTAGAGGGGATGGGGTTGGGGAGAGGTGGATCTAAAAGTACCATATTCAGTGTGATAGACATGTATAAGGCGTAAACAGCAAAGATCTTCATTAAAATAAAAAAGACGCAATGTATAATCAAAAGCTGTGAGCTAATCAATGAAATGATGGTCCAGTGAACCCATCTACAAAGCATTTACATTGCTACTGACAGACGATACATGAAGGCATTGACAGAAGTTCAATGGCGTCTGTATTTTTAGGCACCGTGTTGATGTGACATATGATATGTGTTTGTGAACGTGTGTGAACAAAGGGTGTATCGCGTGTGTTTGGATGCCTGCTTGGAGGGAAACAGGAAAGAAGATGCAGAAGGGCTCATGTAAGAAGCAGTCATGGTAGTTATACAGACTTCCAGGCATTCATATCAAAGACGAGGAAAATTAAGAGAATGGGGACAACGAGCAAGCTGCCTGTGAAAACCGGCTGGCAAAAAAAGAAAGAAATAAAGAAAGGACAAGAATATGTAAAAGATAGAAAAAAGGCAATAATAGGAAAACACTTAAGGAACTTCTCTGTCTGTGGACTGCCTGCGGGTTCCTTGTTGACACAGCGGGGGCAGTGGTCAGAAGTGGAGAAGAAAAGGGGGAGACAGAGAGAGAGAAAAAACTGATACAGAGATTGAAAGAGGGGGAAGGAGAGAGCTGCACAGCTCCCCCTGCAGTCTAAATGAAGTACTCTTTCTTCTCTTCTGCGTGTGCATGGTTGCCCTCAGCGTTGATAATAGCTGTATCGGCGTCAGGCGCGTCGTCCGCCCCTTTAGCCTCGTTTGTCAAGTACGTTCCTGAGGAAACAAAAAACAAACTTGTATCAAGAAAAACAAATATCGAGCAGCCCTGCATGGTGCTTACTGCCTGGGGTGAAAAACACATCTGAGGACAACATCAGTAATGCTACATAATTCATAAACATAATGATGAGCGGCTAGGAGAGTACAAGATATGCAAATCCAGCAGAGAGTAGGTGTGTAAAAAACCTGCAGCAACAAACAACTTTACTGTTCTCAATCATGGCAGACGAGGCTTAAATATGAAGGCAAATCAATGTCAAAATCTGCGTAAACCCTGTAATTACTTCTGCAGCGCTTTCACATCACTCTGCGAAGCCCGCTAGGACAAAACCATGCTTTGAGGGCGAGGAGCGCCCCCTGGTGCACGACTTCTATCACCGCTCTTCTGCTCGCAAAGCTTTCACCTGCTCGCTCTCGAGTGTTTTTACTTTCTGATAGTAAGTGGGCGGACCCAGTACTATTGTATCACTTAATTTGGTTACAATCCTCATCTTTGGATTGGCCGGATATCACTCCCGACACAGACGCTAGGTGGCGGTATAAAGGTGGTTTTCAATCCTCCACTAAACACTATTCTACTACATCTCGGAGGTACTGTAAATATTGTACTTTTTACTCCACTACACCTCAGAGGTATATAATGTACTTTTTAGTCTACTACATCTCAGATGTAAATATTGTACTGCACTGACACAACAAACATAAGATGATCTTACAGAATATGATTGCCGTAGCTTAAACTAACCAAAAGTATGTAAAGGAGTTTAAATCATGCAACATACACGTTAATGCAGCAATAATATGTATCCTGAAACATCAGATACAATAGTAAAACACTGACAGGGAACATTTTACTGCACGTGTACTTTTACTTTCGGTACTTAAAGTACATGTTGCTGATAATAACATACTTGACTAAGGTTTTGAATGCAGGACTTTTACCCGTAGTGGATTATTTCATCAGTATGGTATGAGTACTTTTACTGCAGTTAAGGATCTGAATCATTTTTCATCCACTAATTACTTGTCAGTGATTTAAGTTTGGGAACTCACTTGGCAAACAGTAAATATACCAACAGTGTTTCCTAACCGTGGCTTCAGATCTTTTACCGGTTCAAAATTCTTGCTCATAGAATATACAACTACATTTTATCTGTTAGCTTCTGTAAACACAACAGTATTATTAAACATTATCACATCATGTTTTAAGCGATTAAGAACCACAAAGATCCTTGTTTGTCACAAGAGGTTTGACTATCAAACACACATTGTATGTAATAGAATGATGGAGTGAATTTAAATCCAGTTTATTTCAAAAAGAAACACAATTGAATTATCTTATTTCAAAACGCTATTAACATGCTTTGCATTTCATCAGCCTCTACGGTCTGAAAAGTTAACAAAACCTGTCAGACAAATGGAGAATATTTACCTTTGAGATGTAGGCTAATGGTGTGGAAAGTACTATATTTACCTCTGTCCTGACTATATCTATTTCCAGCAATTAGCCACTCAGCTGGGTGCGGGAGAAGACCATGTTTTTTACGCGCTTCAATGACGAGATTCCAGGCTGATTCACTGTTTGATTGATTACCTTTATATTGCAAGCAAACGTGTGCGGTGATATGATGACTGACTTGGCTTTCTGGTTTGCTGCCCAGTGAATACAAGCGTCCGAGCGGTACAAATCGTGCGATCTCCCCGTCACCATGCATCATTAGCCTGCCTGTTGCACATATAGAATTTACCTGCCACACTAATCCACACTGCCACCTGTCGTCAGCTTGAGGTAGGCGACCAATACAAACAGGCATAAATACACAGACATAAGTTATGGCTCCTACACCCCTGAGAGGTAGTGGAGTAAAAAGTACAATATTTACATCTGAGATGTGGTGGAATAGTGTTTAGTGGAGGATTGAAAACCACCTTTATACCGCCACCTAGCATCTGTGTGGGGAGTGATATCCGGCCAATCCAAAAATAGGATTGTAACCAATTAAATTAAGTGATAAAATGGTGACTGGGTCCGCCTACTTATTGTCAAAAAGAAAAAAACAGGAGCGAGCAGGTGAAAGTTCTGCGAGCAGAAGAGCAGCATCAAATCATGGTTTCTCCTCGCAGGCTTCAATTTTGCTTGCACGAGCAGAGATATTCTGTGCGGAATGATGTGAAAGTAATTTGCATGCGCGGCTGTTTGAGTTGCCCATGCGGGAACTCTACACACGATCTCATTTGTGCTAGCAGATTTTGACATTGATTTGCTTTCAAACTTAAAGTTTGACGTCCAAACAACGTGACGCAGAACTTGATTTTGTATAAGTGAGGCAATTTTTGCTGAGCAGGAAGGGGTTAATGATTATGTCATAGCCATCTCTCGCTCTCTCTCCCGAATACAATATAATTATTTAAAATAAATACAGACATTTCTAAATTGTTCTTAAAAAATAGACCAAATGAGTCTGACACATCAAAGACACATGTCCATCAAGGGTAACTAAAGGCAGGACTTAAAGGGTAACTAAAAGGTTATTAAAGGGTGGTTTTCAACGTGGACCCTTTATTCTCATGTTTTTGTAGTCAAGGGAATAATGGGGACAACCTTTTTTGAAATTGGTCCAGTATTAGGAGAGAACACTGTAACTGGCAGCAGCGAAACGATCTGCGAGCGGGTTACATTTCTGACACTGACTGGATAAGATTGTTTTCATAAGTGTCTGACAATGTTGTAAGGGAAGCTACAGAGAAGGAAAGCATTTTCCCTTATCTTTTGCTTGATCCAGGTCTCTTTGTTATTGTGTCCAAATGCTGGTCTCATTGTAAAATTTGAATATCGAGCAGCAAAAGGTCACACTCTTTACTGCATTTTTCCTCTGTGGGCATAAGGGCACAGCCCCCACAGGAACACCACCAGTCTCCTGCGCTCCTCGGCCTTGTGGCACTTTATCTGTTTACTCTGGCTCGAATAAATACGGGATGCTTTGGAATCCACATGTAAATATTCAGCCAGAATATTGGAAATCTTTTAGATAACACTAAGAGACTCTTTCTATACTCTCACGTTTCCACTGTTGTCTTCCATCAACACGTCCCCTAGCAAGATTTCAGAATGAGACTTTTCCTATAGCAAGACTCTTTCTATAACGTCAGACACTTATGATAACAATGGCTCCCTGTCACTGGCAACAAAAAAAAAGCCCTTTCAGTGGACGTAAATGACGCTGGCAGCTTGCTCCAGCCGGATTACATTGCATCCTATGAGCGGCTGACATCTACATTGCTCTCGCTCAAGACTCGACCAATTTCAGAAATTGTTGTTCCTATTAATCAGTTCAACACAGATGCATTGGAAAATAGGGTCCAGGTTGAAAAATACCCTTTAAGCCTTCAGTCACTGCAGGTATGTCACACACTTGTAACTTGGGAATAGGGGAGGGACTTTCATGTCTCATTGGAGAAGGACATGCTTAACTAGTTCCATGAGCCTCGAGAGACTCAGGTCTTTTCCACTGTGGTTTTACCTTTATGCCTGGCCAGGTATCTTCCCAGAACAATGATTAAACACAAGGTGACAAAGACCACCACAGCCACCACTCCTCCGATCAAGGCATGGTCAGTGCCGTGCTGCCCCAGAGCATTGGGATCTGAGGAAAGACAGAGAGAGAAACAAAGAGAGCAGATGAAGGCGCCGGTTGGTGAGGTAACGGAGTGAGGGCAGAGGAGCAGCAAGACAGACGATACAAAACAGAGCAAGGAGGAAAAAGATTATTTCCACCTCGTTCCTGCTCTAACGAGCTGCTGTCATTCCTCTCTCCTTTCACATCATGCAGTCGGAACAGAGCTGCCTAACTCTCTGAGAATAATAAAATGGAGAGAGAGAGAGAGAGAGAGAGAGAGAGAGCATGAGAGACGGACACCACATTTACACAAAGAGGAGCTACAGGCAGACACACATTCGCCCTGAAAAATGAAGGAAAAAGAGAATGAAAGAGGAACTCAGGAAAAAAGAGGTGAATAATTCAGGATCACCCCCACGGTGCTGCAGGAGTCCCCAACATGCAAACCAGGGCGGCAAGACTAGTACACAGTAAATAAATCATCACACAGGAAATAAAAAGGAAAGATCAATCTTTTTCTGTGTCTTGGCGAGGAAGGATTGTTGTTAGGAAAATGAATTGGGTGTTGGAGAGTCGCTACAGGTCCCTAGCTGTTGGAAAAACTGCGGAAATGATAGCACAGTCATGAACGAGTGAAGATGTGCCTATTCACGCCTCATGGAAAAACCCATCAAAGGTTTCCCTTGATTTAAAAAATAGCTTATTTCCTTTATTCACCTCAACTTCCTCTTTCCACAGTCTGGCTTGTAGGTTATTTAAGTTTAGAGGGAGGACATGGCACTGATGGTGTCCACTGTAGGCAAATGAAAAAAGTTGACAGTGACAGCGATGGGGGATATGGGTAATGGGATAGCCTGTATTATTCATATCAGTCCGTGACACCTGAGAAATTAGCACTCATCTCATTATCCTCCTCCGAGTGCCAGGGCATGCCATATACCACCCTGTCACTCTGTGTATGTATGTGGGCTCATGATAGCTAGAATACGGCAATGTCAGAGCAGGGTAAGCAGTGATAGAAAGGTGGTTTAGACATACAGCACACGTCTCGTATTGACACTGTTTCTCTTCAGTATTCTCCTTTTCTTTCAGTGTCCGCCCATGTGGCCAAATTGAACAGCTGGCTTGCTCTCGCTCCATAACTCTCCACGGCCTGAGTGACCAGGCCGTCACACTTCACCGCCTCCCAGTGGACAAACACACACTCATACCAGCACACACGCTGATACACACAGACGTGTGTGGCGTGGTTTCACTGTGCCGCAGTTCTGCTTGGTCAGTGGAGCAGAGAGTAGAGGAATGTTCCCCTGGCACGGTCCAGCAGGGTGAGGACTCTGCGTTTAGTTACACACATGGTTGTGTCTCTTCACCTCTATCTGTCAGGACGGTGAGTGTATTTTTTTTTTTAAACCATCATACACACACTCACTGTCCTGCTGTTGCGCTTGAGTCCGGCTGTTTCAACCCAGTGCAAGCACAAACAAGCCATGGCAGTCATATGTCTGCCTATAGAGTACGACACAGCTTGGCCATGCAATATGCTGGTGTCATGTTCAAGAGGTTGGGCTATAAGTCTAACGCCTTGACACTTCAAGAGCATGTTGTCAGGTCCCGCTGCTACAGGATAGCCAGTGAAGTCAGTTTGTATACACTCACAGTTTCACAAATGGCTGAAAAGCTGATATGTTTCTATGGATGTTTTGATGCTTTGTGATGCCATCCAAGTCAGTTTACAGGTCTCAAGGAGTACTATTTGTGAAAAACGTTGTATAACTTGAGTCAGCGTCGGTTAGGGCTGATCACTTCAAGTTTGAAAATGAAAGTTGTGGAGGTGTGGAGTTAGAAGTAAGTGAGCTTACTCGACCTCTGTACTGTAGTTCGCTCCTCATTTCTCCTTGAGGCTAGCAGCTCAAGGCTACATTAGCTGCTGCTAGCATAACACACCAGAATCTCCGACTGAACTGTCAGTGGTGGAGTTGAATTGTGGGTAATGTACGTCAAGGTTTTAACAAGGAGGAAAAATGTTTAATAAATTGAATAAAAATGACGGTATCTCTGTTTTTTCTGCAGTCATAGGAGTCCAATGCTAAATCGATTAAGGCATCTTTCAAGCCAACTGGGGGAGAGTATTTGATACAGAAGGTTAAATTTCCCGAGGAGTATTCCATCAACTGGATACTCACGGGGCAACAGAATCCGGTGGCATGAATTCATCACAACCTACAACGTCTAAATACAAAACATGATTCATCTATTGCAATCTTTTGCATTCTGGTCTGGTCCACATGGAAGGAGAAAAATACAGCAAGAGCGTATGAAGACACACAGAAAAAGAAAATGAAAGACATGATGGACAGGAAAAGGCTAAAATTTCAGTTAGAGCAAGAAGGACAAGGAAAGAAGACAAGGAGGAGAGGGATCTAGAGGGAGGGTCATACATTTAATGGGTCCAGAACACATTATCTTTTAATAAGGGCACATACATTCTTCTCTCTGCGATTTAATATGAGAGCGTGGAAGAGCAAGCTCCTCTTTTAATATTTATAACACCTTCCTTGTCGCCTGGCTTTGCGAGTTGGGCTTGTTTAATATATTAAAGGGGTTCATGGCTTCTGTGAGCCACTGCTTGGCCGGGACTGAACCAAAACTGTTGCTCTTAAACTGCCCCACTAACTTCTCATCCGATCTGTTTCGCTGATCCTGGCTCCATACGGGGTTACAGTGAAAGGATATGTGATACTGGGTGGTTGTTCAAGAGGATGTGTGAAGGCTGGGAATGGAAATATGGTGTCATATTATTGAGTAAGATTAAATTACATTGATTCCTATAATAACATTTCTGAGACTAATGTGAAGCCTGCTGCATACCAAAATAAAAGCATGTGTTTTAAGTCAAACTTCGAGAACAGTTCACTGTTCATGACTGAAATTTGACAAAACTATACAAACTATATTAGTCCGAGATTGGTACCAAAAAGGTGGTATATGGCTTTGGAAATTATGTGCAAAGCAAGGGTGTATGTTTGCATATGGTATGATCTGGTGTGATCGGTTGTAGCCAGCGTTGAGGTCAACGAGGTCCAGACCTCGGTAATTATTTCTTAAACAGCCCACCATCTCTCTGTCTCTGAATGACATGAAATAAGACCGCTATCTGTGGTGATCATTTCATCAGCTGATTCATGTTTTGAATGAGAAGACAATTTTGAACATGAGCAGAAATCTTTCTGAAACACATATGAGGTAATGAAGTCCAGAGGTCCATAAATCAATTCAAATTTATTTAATTTATCATTGTGGTAATAATGCACATTAAAGAGGTTAAAGACACAAAAGAGGAGGAAGAGTAAATCCTGTCTACAGGTGTTTTGACTCAGCAAAGATAACATTAAATGTGAAAAGTTGAGAATAAATATTTGGAAAGCAAAACAGAATGCTTGACAGCCTTACTGCATTATGTTCCATTATATTTTTATATTTTCAATTGTCACCTGGTGCCTGAATTTAGTGGTTTCCTTTACACTATAAATTGATGCAGAAAGATTCACCAAAATGCAGGAAATTAAGTGTTAGACTCTCAAAATCTTCCCCAGACTCCCCCCCGCTTAATATGTGTCCCCACCCATGTTGAGACCAAGCCTACGCCCTTGGAGCAAAGGAACATTATCAATTCAAATGAAAGCTCAAATATTCCATCAAGAACTCAGCTGGAGAGAAATGGTGAGTCCATATAAAAAAAAAAATCTGCCAACCTCCTTCCTCAATCAGGTCATCACTAGGCATGACATCAGAATCAGACTTTCAGTTCTGGTTCCTGGGCTTTGGGTATCGGCCGATACCGAGTACCGATCCGATACCAGTGTTTAACTAATAAGCTATCATGCCTCACTGTGTCAAAATCACTGAGATCAGTCTTTTATATGTGAGGCAACATCAGGCTTGAATTAAATATCGCTTCCATAACTTAAAATGTAACAAATGAATACAGAGATATAAATGTACTGCATTGAGTACCAACAGGTTTGACTTGGTTGGTTTGATTATCTGAATCTCAATTCATCAGATTCGGCATCCTGGAAACATATCCGTATGCAACTCAAATGGCCTTCGCCGCAGCTTAATATACATCTTTCGCTCACTCTCAGTATTACATTTGTTAATAATAAAATTATTGTTCATACCCTTGAGGCATCTTTTTTTGGAAGACCTTTCCTCTCTATCTTAGATAGATATAGCTCTGTGATGCAATGGTTTCAGTTGCTCAGATCAATAGAGCAGCAGCTAGCTTAAGCATCGGCTTATAGAGCTGCAGCGTCCTTGTGTCTGCGGTGTGGGTCAGGGAATCTGTGTCTGTCAGCATCTTTTTAGTTTTGTAGTTTTGTGCAGTTAATACATTGTTAATTTGATAATCCAATTATTTTAATTACCCTGAAACATATACAAATCTGGATTTGATTATATGATATTCATGTTAGTTTAAGTTGTCTCGTATCTCGTCTTGGTTTTTAATTGCGTTTGATGAACAATTTGTGTTCTTATCTTGCTCTTGACCACTTGTCAAATTGTCTGTTACCTGAGAGAAGAGCAAAAAAAGAAAACATTGGTGAATCTAACAAAATAAAAACAAGTTGAGGATAAAAACAAAAATAAGAGGAAATATGTTCTTGTATAGTGTTGCTTCCTGAATGAGGCCCAGTGACTGTTACCTAAGATACAGTCTGATTACCTGAAATAAACTGTGACCAAAAACTAAAACTAAATAAAACCTTGACGCCTCGCCTCGAATGGCTTAACCCGGCATGTTACATCATTTAGCGTGAAACATAAAGAGAAACATATCACTCTGCATCAATTCTGCTGTAATAATGGTACCTTAAAGTTAAAGACAAAAGAAAGAGGTGCCTGCAAACAGAATGGAAGTTAAGGAGTGAGTGTTGGAAAGTGCCTGCAGACTTCACTTGTTCGATGAATCAATTATACCCAACTTTTTGGCTGAGACTGGAAATTCACCAATCTGCATCTAATGC